TGCCCCCTAACCGAACGCCTAACCCTAATCTACACCGATATTCAAATAGTGACCAAGCGTACATTCCGGTTTTTATATCGGACCATTAACCCAGGGTACGTTTCCGGCAGTACCCTGGGGGACATAGACCCTATGAGCGTTAGTAAGTGTACTGGGCACCGTAAATTTAACCCCACTAATTTCATAATGGCCTCGATGTAAACAGAAATGAATAAACCCTGAATGTTCCAATTATTATTATGTTACAGGTATATTTGGTACTGCCTATAGCCTAGAGTCCTAACAATTTAATACGAGTGTATTGCGATGTACGGTATGTGTTTGTGGCGTTTCTGCATGTATTGCTACGGCTCAATTAGGTCTATGTTGCTCCAGGCCGTCCACCCTCTCAGCCTACTAACCTTAGCTATCAGTCTATTGATCAGTACGGCCGTATTAGGGTATACAGCAACTGCCGTACACTACAACTACATAACACACAAATTAACAGTATTAACCCCTTAAACTGTGTACTTATTTAAACGTTAACTGCCTCCCCAGTGTGTCACTTAATTTCATGCAAATCCGTGACTTATCAGCTATCAGTAACATACGAATCGTGACCTTTTGACCTTTTTTATTCCTGATTGTATAGCACCGTTGTTATGCTCTATACATGTTCTGTTGAATTGTCTATGTCAAATATGTGTTCATTCATATTGTTATAAGTGTAAGAATAAATGACAATATAGAGTGAATTTTTTTTTTATATACTGTGATTTTAGTCCCCTTTTTGACGCGATTTTTTGTTTACAAATTGTGAACAAGTCTCTTACTACTAGTACTAGTAGTAGTACTACTGCCGGCAATAACAATTAACATTGTCACGTGTCATACTAGTACTTGGCACTAACAATCACCGGCGCCATCACCCTCAGATTGACTGTCTAAGTCACTATAGCGGTTGCCAAATACGCCTCTCTATCCCTGATCTCAGGTTCATCTTCTGCATCTGACATCAACGAAAGACGACAAATCATTCGTCTGACTCAAGAATACGCGCTCAAAACTTCTGCCTCAGAAAGCTTCGCGCTTGCTGCAAGACGCCATTGTTTTCGTTTGTGACTGCTGAGTGCTGCGATCTTTGCGTGTTTTGTTGCGGAAATAACCGAGCCACAAAGAAAATCTTCCATGGCTATATAACGCATGTCCACATAGGACTGCGTACCCGGTCGACAGTTCCACCGCGCTTACCACTTACGTGAGTACGTGAGTACGTGGGTGTTGTACGTGAGTCTAGCCGTTAGGCGAGTCATAAACCCACGGTTGGCGTCCGGTATTGCGCGTGGCTGTACAGGAAACGACGGCTATGTGATATATAGACCGCGTACGCGGTCGACAGTTCGAGACGCTACACTACGTTAGTGTTTAGCGATACTGCGATCTTGGTTTTTGTCTCGCGTGTCTCTCGTAGTTTTCATATCTGGGGATGGCAAGATCCAATGTACATTTCTGTGTATTCTGAATGGGTGTTTATCGACTATATTTCTTCAGTCGTGTTAGCAATCGGCGATGCTACGAAACGAAGCACGCGGCGACTGTTTACTGTTTATGGCATTTTAATTGTACTTAACGTGCCTCCTTCGGCGCCAAAGTGGACGGGCGCGCGAAATGAATTAAACCGCATCACACATCGCCGTTATCCCGTACAGAGCGTGTAATGTAACACATGCTGTGTTAATGAGCGCCCGGCACGCCACGGCGAAAAACATTCTGCGGGCGCTGCGGGGCAACCAGATGAGACCGATAAATCAGTCAGCTCTTCGTGTCAAAAAGACTGGTACGGTCGTTCATTAGGCCAAGTATCTCTGCGCGACACATAAACTTACCGCTCGCTTACACTAAACTCTCCACCGCGTGGGCAGTTCTATTAGACCTATTTGCCGTTCTTTCTATGCGCGAATTCTCTCGAACATCCCTCGAAGTGAGAGACTCGTCGCCCATCTATGGTTAGCTATAGTAACGACAATAAGTTCCAGGGCGCTTGTTCAATTAAATTAGTATTAGAAATCGATTTTCTATTTAGAAAAACGAACGCGCCAACCAAAACAAGCTTCCAATTGACGACCATTGCGATTTTATCGCCCTACGTCGCATAGCGAAACGTTTCTAGAAAGCCGCCAGAACTCCTTCAACTTGACCGATTACATGCCCCATTTGATATAACCGGTGAAAATGGCTTTACTTAATGTAAGCAGCGAGTTATCCTTGAAAATGCCGCCGCAACAGGTGGCGCGACCGCCCGCTTCGCGCGTAATATCCGGCCTCAGACTGTCTAGCTGCATCATGAGCTATGTGACTTGCTTATGCTGTCCGACCTTATCCTTCAGCCTTTTTCGATTAATTTAATCATGACATTGTGGTGCAATGGATACTTTTGGCATAAGATTATGCCGATTAATTCACACCAATAACCTGCCTTTCTTGATTCTGGTTTTTTCCTTTTCCATTTTTTCCCCCGCAAGTGTGCCAAACATTTCCAGATATTTGGTTTCAAATATTTTGTCTTTTTTTTCACCCTCACCGTTTATCCTACATTAAACTAACTATTTATATGAATAAATTCGGAAACTGCATAAGTGTAAGACAGTATTCGGTCTCACCTATTAGCGGGCTTTTCATTACTCTAGCGCCAACAATCACCACGAATTTTGTTGCTGTTATAAAGCTACAACAGAGTAAATAACAGCAAACTGTGCGCCCGCCATCATCAGGTTTGTGTAATGGAATGTTTTCAAACGGTCTGGACAAAACGAGCACACGTAGTTACGGAGCAAATATTTATCGACTGGTAATTATTCTTGAAATGTACACAAAGATATTAACGTAATGTAAGAGGACAGGGTTCCGTCTCGCGAGAGCAAAATCGACGCCCGCTAGGTTTGCTGACATATATATATATGTAACAATCTAATTTGCGAATGCAAGACCAGTGCAGATATTGCCGTGGCAAAGTTATGCTGTGCATCTGTGGTTCTATCAAGTTTAGCTTAGCTTATATACACTTCAAGATGTATATGCAAGGAGTATCCGGTAAGTATTCAGAACGGTGAGAAAAATATGAAATGGTTGGGTAAAACATGAGAAATCCTCTAAATTATCTAATTTAATCATCCCCCTTAAAGTATTTTTTGTAGGCAAAATAATTCCTGTGAAATTTTCTCCGATTTTCTAAAAGGAGCTGTCACATTTCCACTTCCACCACAACAATGACCATGAACGAGGTCATA